CCCCGTGGTCGCCGCTGCCGCCGCACCCGAGGGCCCGACTCTGCTCTTGGGAGATTTAAAAGGACGACGGCGCATCCACCGGCCGCGCCGAAAATGTTTCAACGGGGCCTCTCCGTCTTCCTTGACATCGGCCGTTGTGGACGCTTCGTCCTGGAGATCCATGTTGGCTGCCCAAGTGCTCCGCAGGCCGGGCACCCGCAGCGCCCCATACCAAGCATGCAACGACGGCCCCCTTGATCCAATGAAAGGAGTGGAACGTTAGCTGCCTCCTTTCGTTCGCTTGAGGGCGAACTCTGTGAGGCACCGCACCTACCCTCCGCCCACACACGTGGCGGACGGAATGAGGGATCGCCCGTGTACAGGGACGCAAAGACAGTGCGGATTCGCCTCAATATCAAGATTTCAAGTTTGTGGGTTCACGCTGTGGGGAGCAACGATAGCGCGGCTTCCCTCTCGCCGCTCGGCCACTGCGGGAGAAGGACCTGATCCGGCAAAGCAGCAGCAGCAGCAGCAGCAGCAGCAGGGACAGTCGCTGCGCCACTAAATAGGAAGGACATAGCAAAGCAAAACGTGTAATTATTTTGCACTTGCAGTTTCAGAGTCAGAGACGTGCCGACAGCAGCGGTTGAACTTTCCAACCGAGGTGGGTGTCCCCCACAGGGTGTAACGTCGTACCACACACCTTTTGAAGGCGTTCAATGGATATGCTAAATACTGTTGCAAATAAGCTTCAGTAAAGGCTTAATGCGTGTTATCTCTTGGAGTGTCAGGCAAAAATAAGGGCTCATGGTCTGAATAAGGGTAAACTGGTTCACCACGAGCAAAGAATCTGGATCGCGTTCAGCACTTGTGTGGAGTCTCAGACCTACGCAGACAACACAATGGATCTGAGATCTTTATATACTCAGACTAGTCCCCTTATTCTGAGTGTATTTCACGTGTGTGTGCTGTGAAATGTACACTGTCGGAAGCTGACTGTCACGTCCTGTGTACCATGGTGTAGCATTATCTGTGTATTCGTACATGGATTTAGGCTGGCGTTGAGGGCCAAGGAAGTCCTCACCAAGTGCAAATACTGTTAGTACATGCATCAAAAGGGGCTTGGTTCTGCTTGTATGTTTGGTTGCGTTGCAGCACGAGTTGCAGTATGTAGCATGGTCTGCCTAAAGTTAGCACAGGAACCGTAACGCTTGTTCTCTGGCCTTTATCTGGCCAGAGGCAAGCCTCAATGTAGGCAAAGACTTAAAGCAAGAGTTTCCCAAAAGCAGCTGANGGGGAGGAGACAACCAGAAATGGGGTTGCAGCGAACCCCGCTGGGGCTGGTAGTGCAAGCCAGCCCCACGCGTGCACGTAAGGAAGCTCCAGGGAAGCTTCATTTGCTGCATGCTTTGCCTCTGAACGAACTTGTAGAACGTTTGCAAGCGCTTACACGCAGCGTGCCAAAGCCTTCGGAAGGCTTCTGCGCTAGCTCTGCGCTAACTTATGCTACATCTGCCCCCCTATCAGCAAAAGGCACACGTTCTCATGGGCAGATTGTCATGTAGGTGGGCGGCTCTTGGAGCGCCAGCTCCTGGCGCTGCTGCGGCTGCTGCTGTTCTCCTCACCGATGCCCGTCCCAGTGATGAAACGAGGGGGGAACTGGTAAAAGGGGCCCAATGGGTAACGATATCGAGTGAAAGAGAAGGGTGAAGGCAATCAGCGCGTCGGCTGCCGCATCTGACTCAAACGGTGAGTCATGATGCGGCGTCCGCCCCGCTACCACGACGGTGCCTCGCCACCAGCTGATTAAGCTGGCAGGCAACAGAAACGTGAAGTATGAGCGAGTAAAAGGCAGAAAAAGAGGAATGGCTGGGCCAACAAAGCGAAACTGCTGCGATGCCCTCCCGACCAGGTCCTCAGCTGGTGGGTAGCTGAAGTGGCGCCTGATGCCGCTCCCGGCGCTGCCGCTGGGCCGAGATGGCGGAAAAGCTGCTGCTTTATGCTGGCTGCTGCTTTGATCACAAGTCGTTGGTTGGAATTTCGGTTGCTNGGCGGAAAAGCTGCTGCTTTATGCTGGCTGCTGCTTTGATCACAAGTCGTTGGTTGGAATTTCGGTTGCTACAGCCCGTCCCGCTGCGCTGGGTCGCTGCCGACTGGGGCCCCCGAGGAAGCCCCAACAAGGTCCCAAAGGTGGTGCCCAGCCCCACTAGGCAAAGGTACAGCTGGTCGTCTGTGCCCCCCCGCGACCTAGCGCGCCGTGTGCAGGAGGGAAGATACGAATAGGGAGACAGCGTAGTTAGCCTCCAGGGGCATCGGGGTAGGAAAATGGAAAAATTTGCTGAGATCTGACAAGGGATCCGCGAACATCTAGCCGCCCATTACCCACTCCCGCGACCTGCCTGCATGCACACACTAGGTGTAGTTGCTGCGAGGTCAACGAGGGCGCTTAGCTGTTGGGGGAGGATCGCTTCCCGTAATCGATCCTCCGAAACCCTCTCGGGATCACATGTGCCCGGCCATTTGACGTAATATTCGCGTTTCCGATGGCCGCGGCGGACGTTAATATGCGCCTCGAGAATCTCTGTGTCCTCGAGGCGGGGACGCTCGCGAGGTCGTTGCTGCGGTTTCCTTTCCAGAGTGCGAGGGAACCGCAGAGATTCGCTAAACTGTTTTAAGAAGCCCAAGTTAATAGTGTGGTGGCATCTCCACGTTGGGGGTATATCGATGATGTACGCAAACGCGTTGATCCGAGAGCCGACCGCAAACGGTCCAACCCATCGTGTGGCGAACTTTTGGGGTTGCTCGCCCTGGGCGCTACAGAGGGCGTGCGAATCCACTAGAACCAAGTCGCCCGGGTTGGAACTGACTGCGGAACGTCGTTTGTCGTAGTTTCTGGCTTGATGTTCCTGTGCTTTGCGCATGCATTCCCTCGCTGCTACAAGCTGTGTGCCGAAGTAGGAAGCCGCAGTCGATCGGGGCTGGTTTCCAACAGCGAGGTCGAGNCTGCTACAAGCTGTGTGCCGAAGTAGGAAGCCGCAGTCGATCGGGGCTGGTTTCCAACAGCGAGGTCGAGAGGCGGATCGGCGAGTGGAGTTTCTGTGTAGACCAGGGACGCCGGGAAGCAGCGAGTAGACGAATGCACTGTAGTGTTGTAAACGCATTCTGCACAAGCAAGAAAGTCAAGCGAGTTAGATGAGTTCTGTCGGATGTAAAGTCACAAATACTGCACCAGCGTGCGGTTAGTTCGTTCGGTCTGGCCGTCGGCCTCCGGATGGTTGGCGGTGGTCATGTTGTGGTCGATGCTGAGCCGTTGCATGAGGCTGCTCCAGAAGGCGCTAACGAACTTCGGATCCCTGTCGGTAATGATGTTTTTTGGGAAGCCGTGGAGCTTCCACACATGATTAATGAATAGTTGGGCACTCCTTCCGCTGTGACCGTGCTCGAGAAGGGAATAAAGTGAGCATATTTGCTTAGCCGATCCACCACAACATATATACTATCATGGCCTCTGACGGGTGGCAAGCCCACTATGAAATCCATGGAAATATCCGTCCAGATCCTATCGGGAATAGGCAGGCTGTGCAGGAATCCGGCTTTGAGCATGTTACGCGGCCTTTGCTGCTGGCAGTCCGGACAGGAGAGGACGTATTCTTCGATTGAGCGGCGCATCCTCGGCCACCAGAAGGACCTGACAACACGCTCCACCGTTGTATTGACCCCACAATGGCCTGCTAAAGCATAGTCATGCATTTTCCGTAAAGGTTCCGTGCGAAGCGAGGCCGGAACGTACAATCGACGAACACCACGCTTCGTGTGATACCACAGGAGATC